TATGGGCGGAAATGTAGAACTCCTTTGTGTTGGAATGAAGTAGGTGAAAGACAGTTAGCTGGGCCTGAGTTAGTTCAGCAAACTGCAGATAAAATTGGAATAATACGAGAACGAATGAAAGCGGCACAAAATAGACAAAGAAGTTATGCAGATAAACGTCGGAAACCGATTGAGTTCCAAATAGGTGATAAAGTGATGTTGAAAATATCACCATGGAAAGGTATAGTACGTTTTGGAAAGAGAGGGAAATTAAGTCCAAGATATGTCGGACCATTTCCTATTATTGGGAGAGTTGGAGAAGTGGCCTATAAATTAGAACTTCCTGTAGAATTAAGTGGAATACATGACACGTTTCATGTGTCAAATTTGAGGAAGTGTCTAATAAATCCAGATGTGGCAGTACCACTACCTGAGATCAAGGTAGATAAAAAGTTATGTTTTGAAGAAACTCTTGAGCAGATTACTGATTATAAGGTGAAGAAGTTACGAAACAAAGAGATTGGGTTAGTAAAGGTTCAGTGGCATTATCATAAAGGGTCAGATGCCACCTGGGAACCAGAGTCGGAAATGCGGATGAAATATCCTTACTTGTTTGCTTAAGTGAATTCCGGGACGGAATTCTTTTAAGGAGGGAATATTGTAATAATCTGGTTATTAATTTAGTTATATATATATATGTATATATTTATTTGTAAATATATATATATATATGTTATGTATGTATGAATGTGAGTTACGTGTGTGTGAGCATTTAGATGAAGAAAAGAAGGGAGAGGGTCGGCTATTAAGCCATCTCTCAATCTTTTTATGGATATGGATGTATATRAAGAAATTTGAGAAAGAAAAACACACACATCACACTTTCCATATTTAGAATTCTCTCTGAAAGTTTTGAAGAATCTGCACAGGAAGAGGAAAATCTCTAAAAGCTTGAATCTCAAATTTCAAAAGGTGAGTGTATTTGAGCTTTGAATATGAATTGCATTCATACAGWTTGAAAAGCATTTAGAATTGATTATTATGAGTTTGAATGCATTTTATGATAATTCTTGAATAAACCGGCCAAGTGGTRTCCGGATTGTAATCCGGACAATTAAACCGCTTGTGCCTTGACTGGATAATGTCTAATCCGGGCAAGTGGTGATCGGATAATGTGTAAACCGTTTAAAGAATAGAGTGATGTATTGACCGGATTGCTAAACCGGATAATGTGTTGACCGGTTTATATCAAACCGCTCAAAGGTTAAAGTGTGTATTGATCGGTTTAATTTAAACCGGACGATAAAGAGAATGAAGTGGTATCCGGATTTGTAAACCGGACAAGAATATATATCTTTAAAGTGTTTGACCGGATATCTAAACCGGACAAAGAGTTTGTTTATTTTCAGGGTTTGACCGGACTTCTAATCCGGGCAGGTTTGACCGGACTTCTAATCCGGATGAAAAGAAAAGAATGTTTTGGAAATATTTTTGAAATATAATGAGCAGT